CATTGTATAGCTTCTAATAGTATTTCAGAGTTGGGTTCCTTTTTTGTAGAAATAGATCACCATGCACTACATTCCAGTCACTGATTTCAACAATGCATAGGAGCGCCCACTAAATGGGCATTTGTTGATCAGCTCCTTTTCTTATATTATCAGTGAATAAGGGTGGGCAACAGTAGGTTTCCAGGTGTGAGTATGCAAGTTTGTTCTTGTATTATTATTTATTAATTATTGTATTATTTTCCACCTGAACTGTAAACCTGCTTTTATCCACTCCTTTATATATTTCAGGCCTCTATAGAAAAATGATTCATACTAATTTTTGCTCCTAAAGTTTTGGGGGGAAAAATCACATTAAAAAGCCAATATAAATCTCAAGCACAGACTTCATCAGAGACTAATGAAATTACTCATGTTAAGATGGTGTAGGAAGAATGCTCTCTTCTTTGAACTAATTATTTTTTACGATTAGCAGAAAAAGGGGCTTTAAAGTCCATCTAGTACCCCAGCCAACTCATCCTCCAGATTGGGTGGCGGGTGGGGCCGTGATCATTTAGGAACCGAGAAGAGTCACTGTAAGAAGGGTGAATGAGGTCAAGTCCTTGTGTAGACAATGCATGCAGAACTAACTGGCTAGTTCTAATATGACCATTCCCTTATCGCATTTACTAAAAAACAAACAACAAAACAAATCCAGATTAGGATGATGAGGATAAAGGCAACCAGGACGCCTGCAAAACCCCCAAATTCTTCTAGTTCCCTAAAGAAGTAACTCTCCTGGAAATTGACACACGAGCCATTATGTCTTTTACTGATAACAAGACAACAGAAACATAGGTCGTTTTTCCTATATCAACAGACTGGCAGAATTGAAAACACAAAATACAATAATACAAAAAGGACGGTTTTAGTGAGACTCTTGTAGTGTTCCAGAGACTGTTCCACGATTAATTGGATAGGCAACAAAAACCAGGTCAAGAAAGGAAATTACACAGAAATATGGTTCTATGAGTGCCTGTGTAAGAGCTAACGGAAGGTGTTTTCCCCCATGAATGATTCCTACTATCTTTGTTCCTGACCTGAAGTCCAGTTTAACATTGGCATCTCATTAATCTCTACAACCTGCAGTAAATTAATGCCATTTAGGAGAGAGTAATTACTTCAAAAATGACAAAATAATTAATACTGAAATATTTCCGGCTTCTAACAATCTTTATGAAAAACCCCGTCTCTCTTTAATTTTCTTCAAATGCTAAAAATTTTGCACACAAAAAGCAAAAGAAAAAAATCACACTTCTTACTTAAATAATGATGAAAGTAATGACAAAGTAAATAATATAATTAATCCCATATATTCAGTTTCTCATTGCTGACTGTCTTTAAGCTTTGTTTTAAAAACTCAATTCACAAGTAAAACGTAAAACTAAAAATTAAACAAAAACATTAGTTTTATTTACCGTAGGAAAAAAACTGAAAAAGTAAAAGTTTTAATAGAAACTTTGTTTTAATAGAAAATAACTGTGTGGTTTGAGGTGGCAGACTATAAATAATCGGTTAAATTGGTGATGGTTCATTGACTTTTCCTCTAATATCTTCTTAGTTTGAAAAATAAAAAGTAACCAAATCATCATTTAGCTTTTTGGTGGAAAAACAAAATTAATCTGAAAAAGAGGAATCACTAATTCAAAATGTATAATACTTGCTAAAAAGGAAGCTTCAGAGCAAAAGACAAATTGTGAATATTAAGTAATAGCAAATAGCCAAAGAATGCCTTTTAGTAGGGAGAGGTAAGGGGATTTCTAACTAGGGAATATTTCATCAAATCTACTCTTCTTCCTACTCTTATCTCAATCTCTTAAATCTCAAAGGGGAGAAATGGCATAGTCCAGATTTTATTCATGTTTTCTCTCACTAACCTCTTGCATTTGGTATTCAATGTACCATTTCACTTCAAGAGGCCACTAACAAATGGCCCTGTTAAATGAAACTGATCTATCTAGTCACCCCTCAACATCACAGATCTTTTTATGGATTTTTACACTATTGATGAATACCACTTTTAAAAACCTTTCTTCCTTGCTTTCCAGAGGTCGGCCTCCCTCTCCTTTCAGTCTGACCATTTTAAGCATGCCCTTCACTCTGCTCCGCACTCCCTCTTGGAAGGTTCCTATCATTTCACAGTTCACCTCAGGTTCGAGTTAGCTATTTCCAGAGTCAGATCAAAGCCAGTTTACCAGCTGTGTAATCTTGGCCCTGTTATATAACCTCTCTATGACTTGGTTTCCTCACCTGGAAAATGGAAATAAGAGTAGGGTTGTTGTGGGGTTAAATGTAAAACATCTACTGGAGTGTCTAGCACATGGTAAATGCTCAATATGTGGTATTTATTAATATCAGGTTCAGTATTCTGAGGCCATTTTATTCTTTATTATGAGAGCCAAGTTCATTATTTCTCCCCTCAAACTTATAAACCCTTTATAAGTTTTTCAGTCAAATAAATGATACCAATGGTTTTCCAGTTTGCCACAAATCTTTGGGATTGTCTTTAATCCCTCCATAGGGACCTACTACTCTGCACCAGCTCTCTGCAGTGTCCTTCACTTTTGGTTCTGTAGTTTAAGTCAACTTTATTATTAATTGAATACTTATAGGCTATACCTTAACACTGGATAGTTCATGGCATTGCATAACTCACTATCTCAAGAGCATATGGCACCTATTACTTCACAACAAACAGAAACTTCTCATAAGTCAACTCCAGCCACAGGAAAGGAACTATATGAACCAGCACTTCCCTGTCCTGGGCTCAGCTGCATCACTCTCCTGCCTCTATGTGGCTGCACAACCCTCTTCCTCTAATCTCATCTCCATTCCATTCTCCCTACTTTGTAGTGAGGATGACCTTTGGGCTTCTACAGAGAAAAAGTATGCTGTAAAGCATGCCTCCCCTTTCACAGGCACTTCAAAGCAGACATGCAAATTAAAAAAAGAAATCAGCAATAGATATCTTCAGGGTAAAGGTCTAAATCAGAAGGTCTTCCAAATGCGAGTAGTCATAAAGCGCCATAAAGAGCTGGACAGTCGTTGCTAAGAGTTTTCACATACATGCCAATGTGTGTATATATATATAAAACAATTAAACAGAATCCATCAAAAAGAGAGTACCGTTTCATTCTTCTCTTTTAATTGAGCAGCATTTATTTCAGTAAACTAAGAAGTACGGTCTTTGACTGGCCTTTGGTGAACACAACATTTACTGTGTTCACAAAAGACAAGATATATCTTTTTTATAAACATGACATCGAAATTTCTTGCAATGGTACACAAATTAAGAATGTAACTTTCTTTCAGTCTTGCTCAAATATACAATATGTTAGGAATTATTTAATTATATATACACCCAGAGCGAGCCCTTTCAAAAAGAGAACAAATTTATGCATAAGTGATCACGACGCCCACCTACGCATAAATAATCATACATTTTTATAAGCATTTTGTTAAATTTTTAAAAGGTATGCGAAATACATGGGCATGATTATTCTATATATAATGATACAATAGAAAGGACTATATCTATTTTTAACTATAACATGAGATTTCGTGGTAACCCATTTGTTTGATCCTGAAGCATAAATCTTACCAAAAGCATCAAATTCTCTATTTTGGGGTAAAGGTGTAAAGATTTGAAGGTCTGATTCTAGCTGAAAAAAGAATATACTATAACAGGTCTAATGACTAAACAGCTGCAGATTCTAAAAAGAGTTTTTATTACTCTGAGTGAGGCACTAATTTATGTTTTAAATTTTCCATCCAGCGATAACTTTTTAGATGCATGAAAGGAAAAAATAATAAAGAGCTGGCCTGTGAGTCCCTCACTTAGTGAAGGGCAGTAAAAAGAGATTTTTAGATGCAATCTCATTTTTTAAAGTATCTCTTCAGACAAACGGTAAGCCATACAAGGTTAAGAAAACTATGTTTTACTCATGTTTGTAACTCGAAGTGCCCTACATATAGCCACTAGGAATCAACGTTCACATTTAGAGTTGGTTTCCCAAGAGCAGAGATGCCTGTTCTCATCCATCCCTTCACTCTGGGCCCATCTTGCCAGCACTGACAGTGTGCAGTGCGAACCACTTCTTACTACAGGTAACACACGTACTTGAACAAACAAGTAAACCAAGTATATGGAAAGATAAAAACAATATATTCAACTAATAAACTTTTTTTTACATAAAAGGCAGAAGGAGAGCTTAGATAAGGTCAAAAATTCTTATCGCCTCAACTCTTGCCATATTTTTTAAATTGAGGTATAATTGACATTCAACATTACACTACTTTCAGGTGTACAACATAATAATTCGATATTAGAATACTTACCATCTAAAAGTCAGTCTCTGAGTAAAACATGCTCACCACTGAGCAACAGCTATGGAAATTTGAAATAACTTACCTAAATAAATGCTGATTATTATCATAGTCAAATAATGTATATAACACGATTCATTTCAAGGCTGTTCAAGGGTGACCAACTAGAACCAATAATCATAAGCATACACTATTATCCCAAGCCCTATTTTATAATCAAATACCTATCCACTATATCCTTCAAAGTCTAGATTCAGATCCATCAAGCATTCTAAATTATTGAGTCTACATGAAAAATACTGACTGAATGAAATTCTTCATTGTTCTTAAGTAAGTGAACATAAATTCATCACTGCTTTGATTTCTTCCCTACCACCTCTTCTCTTCCCATTAGGCAGCTTTTCACCTATACATAGGTCAGCTGAAAAAATAGCAGAAGATTGTAAAGAACTAATGACTACCTAATCATGATAAAACTTGTCCCAAAGTTGTCTCCTTTCTCTGGGTTCACATATTAATTCTACTCAACAAGCAGCATCATTATAGCCAGACAGTTTTAACGATATGCCCACATGCACAGTACACTGCATTAGGTTCAAAACAGTAAAACACATAAAATATTTTCTTCTTATACTTGCCTTGTGTCTGCATTTAAGTACAACTCCATAGGCTCCTTTAATAAAAAGAAGTAAATAGTTAGCAGCAGTATACCAATTATAGCTCTTGTAGAAATCGAAGTTCTATTATGTTTACATTGGTTATCAGTATGTGTTATAATAAGGATTCCTAAAATGACAATATTCTGCAGTGATAATGCAATGAGCTACATACAAAGAGAGCATGGATAATTACTATGTATTTTTTTTATAAACCAAGTATAAGCAACACATTTCTTCAACATGTATTTTTTAAAGGTTTCTCTTTTGAAAGAAAATTTCACTTGAGACATTTTTAAATTGAAGCTTAAAATATTCTGGAGACAAGATTTGGGCACAAGAACTTTAACACTAAATGAAAATCAACTGAAGAGGTTCTTGGAAACTTAAAATTTAAGAGTAGTGATTTCCTAATAGTAAGCTCAAGCATGGAGCCTACCAAATATGTTATGTAACCTAGGAGACATTTAAATCCTCTTCCAGGATACTGGAATGTCTTTCCTGATTGGCAAAATAGTATGGACCTCAGCATTCCAATTAATAACTAGTAGGAGTTGATATATTTTTGCCATAAATACTCATTTCAAGGGCACAGGCCACAAACAGTCCAAGAATCTCTGGCCAATTATAGCCACCCACTCCCACTTTGTTTGGTATAAAAGTAGTTGATGAGATTCAACTACTTCCTTAGAGGTAGAGCACAGAGTTGACAGCAAGGTACCCAGGAAGCTGAGGTTAAAGTTTTATTGTAAAAATCTAATTAGGAGAATCAAAAGGTAACGTATGATAGATAACTGAGAAATGTCAAGAACACTGACATTAACAGACAGGCAAAGCCTCATGCATCTATGAGAAGGGGATTTTAGAGACATGAAATTGGGAACTGTGTCTCCAACAGAGTCTAGGGGAACACAAGTCTCCCCCACTTTAGTGGAGATGGATGAATGTTATTATCACAGTTAGGATGGGACCAGCCGTTACAGGCATCCAACTTAGCTTCACAATCATAGGCAATCATCCAGTCCTCATGCCAGTTTTTCAGTGGGGTAAAAATGCACTGACTAGGCTACAGGAATTTAGAGTTGGCTTGACGGTTTTTAATTTCCTTAATATATGTGTGTACTTCTTAGTCAAAAAGCATCTGAGGTAGTTTACAAAGAAAAAAAACATATAGCAGTGATGGTTCTGACTACAACTTAAACTGACATAATCTGACTTATACAACAGTCTGGTAGTTTTAGTTCATCTGAGCCAATCCCTGAGAAGATAATCACTTAAAGGTACAAAAAGAAAAACAAGGTTATGATCCAGAAAACTTAGGACCAGAATCTGGAACATTCCAGCCATGTTATACTCTCTGAAGTGACATTCTCCAGTCAGTAGTTTATTGCCTAAGTCTCTAATTGTAATACTTTTGGAAAACAACAACAACTAAACAAAATGGCAGCTATTATAAAACAGATAGTAGGTAAGATAAGGAGAATAAATTTTATTTACATAATTAATATTAATGAAGAGAAGGAAAAGGAGTTGACTAGTGAAGGAAGAAGGATCCATTCCCCTAACATGGTTTTGACTTCAGACCTTGAAGCAAATACCCAATGATTAAACTGTGTTTCAATCCTTTTTATTTATTTGAAAAGGATTTGACAACTTAATATTAAAATCTAAAACAGCTTTACTCTTCACACTGGTAAATTTTTAAAACTTCTTTTGAAATTTAAAATTTATTTGAAAATTCTGAAATATGAAATTTCTCTAACATTTACTTTAAAGATATAAATGCTAAGAAACCATAAGTAGAGTCACTTATCCCATTAACAGAATCATTTATCAAAATCTCCATAAAGTTATCTTTAAGTCAAGAGCAAAAATTACTAAGAATAAAAAATCAGAAAGACTTACGAAAAATGAATTACCATATTTCATCTAACCAATGATGCCAATTAAACCATGACAAGCTACTGATTATAACATACATCTAATTTCAAAGATATTACAATATGACTAAATTGTGTGCCTCAGAATTTATAAAATGTGGTTTGCCATTCCCAAAGACAAATAGAAGTTATTTATTTATTTACCATGCAGTAAGTAAAATTTAACTTATATAAATAAATTTTAAGTTATTCACAATAAGCCTAGCTGATATAAAAATAAAATGTAGCCAAAAAATTATTGACTAAAGAAACCATGATTCCTAATGAAAAGAATTAAATGAAGGCAGCCTCAAGAAATCCCTGATTTATTAAATTTTAAGGGGTTTTAAAATGTTATTAACTTTCAATTGGAGAATAAGACCAAAGAGTTGAGAGTAATTTTATTTTTAATATCTTACTCTTAGGCCCATGTCTAAATTGATGCCAATTAAATTAAAAGGACCTGAATTATTAACTTTTTTAGTGGTAGGTATAATTGTACATTGCTCAAAAACTCAAGGAATGCTAAACTTACCTTCACCTACAACCCCAAGGATCTCAAATTTATTCATCACATTACCAATGTTAGGAATCTTCATGAAGACAAACTCCTCTTTTGATGCGAGCCACAGGACATGGCATCAGAAAGGAACTTCTGAGGAAGTTGCCCAGTAAGTAGAACAAAAAATGGCCGAAGGAAGAAATTCTCACAGGTTCGCAGGAAATTTCACATATTTCTTCTAATAGGAAGTATTAGATGATTCCCTAAAAGAACAAACAATTAAAAGCCATAAGTTTTATATCTCAGTAATCAAATAACCTGGCCTATATTTTTACACAGTTCTTTTAAAACCATGTTAATGTTTCACATACTAAAAAAAAGAATAATCATAGGAGGGAAGAACCCAAAATGGAACACAAATGTACTTAACTGTACTTGAAATGAGTATCGTAAATGCACCGAAGGGGACCGGGGCGGGGGGGGAATTAACCCTAGGTAACTTGAAAATAATATTTCAACAACATACTCTCCTCGAACTAAGACAAAAAATAATATAATCACATATTATACTCTACTTAGATATTTATTTTACACAGAGATATGAAATTTCTTTATGTGTATTCTAGGATTGAGCAAATAAGTATATACAGTAGGCAAAAGTAGGTTTACAGTTGTGAGTATACAAAATAGTTTATTATTGCATTATTATTTATTAATTATTATTTTCACACAAACAACCATAAACCTACTTTTGCCCACCCCTGTATATTATGGATAATGAGAGTTTGGTCCCTTATTCCCATAACAGCAAGTTACAAATATGAAAAGGCGGAAGGAAGGCTTGGAATTAGAGTTAACCACATAAGCTCAGTTCTTAATATAGAGAGATACAGAAACAGATATGTGTGTGTAAATATGCAAAAAATATACATACACACATATATTCCTTAGCTCCGTCCGGGGGGCCTGGAAGCAATGACACTCCAGTAGCCAAGAGCACAGCTAATGCGCCAGTAAAAGGAACCAGGGTTTCTGGAAGAAATGGCTGATTTCCAGGCTACAGCTGAAAGTAAGGAAATGCTCAAAGAATAATGGGGCATGTCTAAAGGGCACCGGAGTCAGCTTGAAGAGATTCCCACTGATCAAATGAGGAACATTTGAGCAACAAAATAAAAATAGTAGCAGATGCCCAGCTGGCATGGCTCAGCGGCTGAGCATCAACCTATGATCCAGGAGATCCAGGAGATGGAGGTTTGATTCCTGGTCAGGGCACGTGCCCCGTTTTGGGCACGATCCCCAGTAGGGGGCATGCAGGAGGCAGCCGATCAATGACTCATCTTGATGTTTCTATCTCTCTCCCTCTCCCTTCCTCTCTGAAATCCGTAAAATATATGTATATTAAAAATAAAATAAAAAATAGTAACAGATTATAATCCATAGAATAATAAAAAAAATACACACCCAGTCCTTACTGATATAAATAAGTGGAGAAGAAAAATCTTTTTCTTAGAGTATAATTCCAAATAATAAATTTGGTAAAGAAATTAGAAAAAAATCCACCATTTGGCAACTACCCTGGCTATAATTATTTCAGGCAAGAATCATCAATACATGATAAAACTAGTGGTTGAAAGTTTGATGGAAAACAGGATATTATCTAGTCTCAAAGTAGCTACCTATAAGATACCTATCAATTACCAAGGGAAAAATAGTAATTTCATAGTGAAGAATCCCGCCAGACACTACATTAAGTGATCAAGGTTAACACTGTTAGTAATAGGACAAGCGAACACCATATGTCTCCTGATAGGATGCATCACAACATACTCCTGTGTCATTCCTTCTGAAAAGGGAAAGCCTGAATCTAGCCAGAGACAAGCCCAAGCTAAGGACATTCTACTAAATAACTGGCCTGTATTCTTTAAAAATGTCTGTCATGAAAGACAAAGAATGACTAACTGTTCCAGAAAAGAAAATTAAGAGTCATGAAAATTAAACATAATGCATGATCCTGGACTGGATTCTGGACAAGAAAAAAAAATATTTTTTGCTATAAAGGGTAACCGATAAAATTTCAATATCTAGAGATTATATAATAATAATGTATCAATGATAATTTTATTTTGATAATAGTATGGTGGTTATATAAAACAATGCTCTTGCTTTAAGAAATGACAAAATGGGTGAAGGTGGTCAAAAGGTACAAACTTCTAGTTAAAAAAATAAATAAGTCCTAGGGACATAATGTACAGCATGGTGCCTATAGCTAGTACATTGATGGTAGGAATGTACACTGCGACAAGCTTTCTAAAGAGAAATATGTCCAGAATTAAATGCTTTTAAAATGTTCATATCCTAGATAAAAGTATGTGAAAAAAGCTACATCATTCTTAAATGTAAAATATTAGACACAGTCCCTTTAAAAATTAAAAACCTGACAAGATATCCTACAATTAATACTTATTAACATTATTATTAAACATTATCCTGGTGGGTTCTAGCCAGCTCAGTAAAATAAGAAAAAAATAAATGAATAAAATAGAATTAGAAAGAGGGAAACAAAATAGTATTTACAAATATTATTATCTACATAGAAAATTCAGAGGGATTTACAAATTATTAGAAGTGTTGGCGAGGTAGTTGAACATAAATTTAATATATAAATATCAACTGCATTTGTGAACATCAACAAGAAACAAAATATAATTTTTAAAAATCACATTTACAACAAAAAAGTGGCTTAGGATTTAACATGATGTTCAAGGCGTCTATTCAAATTTATATATACATATATATATATATATATATGTATATATAAAGATGACCTAAATAAATGGAGTTATCCCAATTTTAAGCTAGGAAGAATCAATAGTCTCCATATTAACCTATATAGTCAATGCAATCCCAATCAAAATCCCAGGGTTTTCTGAGGAATTAAGAGAAGCTGATTCTAAAATATACGTGAAACACCAGAGTTCTAAGTATAGTCCACACCCCCCTGAATAAAAAAAGGAAGAAGGCTTAGCCTTGAGGGTAGGATCTGGCAGTGTGCCCTACCAAATATATTGAGGGTTACAACTGAGCTATAGAAATTAAGACGGGATGCTCCTGGCACAGATATAGACAAATTAGCCAGTGGAACTGATGTGAGAGCGCAGCAGCAGACCATACTTACTTAAATATCCCTACAGCTCCACTCTCACCTCCCCTTGAACTCAGCCTGTTCTCTACACAGAAGTCTTCAGGAGAAGTCAGATCATGTCACTTCTCTGCTCAAAACTCTCCAATGGCCTCCCTTATCATTAAGAGTGAAAGTCCAAGTCCATATAAGCCACAAGGTCTTAACTTGCCCTCCTCTGACATCATCTCTGACTAGTCTCTCTCTTGGCTTGCTTTACTCCAGCCACACTAACCTCATTTCACTTCAATATATAACAAGAAAGTCACAGTTGTCCCTAATCCTAAATATTTCTTTGTCACTCTAACATTTACTTTAGGTCAGATTCTTATTAACTGACTTTTCATTCAACATTTACAAAAAATGTTTTTGAAAAAAGGCAAGAGAAAGCAGACACTATATTTTAGAAAACTTTAATGAAATCACAGATTTTAAAAGGTGACTGTGACATTTAGAGAAAATACTGTCACAACTTCAGAAAAAGTTAATAAATATTTATTTTATTCATTTATTAAAGTATTACTGACTGCCTAACATGTTTGAGGAAATGGACAAATAAGACACATAAGGCAGTGGTGAACAACAATATAGGCAAGGTCCTTGCCCTCATGGAGCTTTACATTTTGCTGAAGGAGGAAAAAATACAAGATTATTATCAGATACTGATGCACGTTACGAAGGGGGAAAAGGACTGATTACTCAGAAAGGTGTCTCTAAAAACGTGGCATCTGAGGTGCAATATCAGTAACAAGGAGCCACCATATGAAAATCTAAGTCACATTCCAAGTAAAAGATGCTCAGAGTGCTTAAGGATGAATCATTCTTTCGTTTTCTATGACTGATCTGGAAGAACACCCAGGAAACGTAAATATTCCACTCTCTGTCAGTAATTGTGTATGGCTCATTTCAAAGGAAACTAGAGATGAAAATTAAATCATTCCCACTAAGAAGACTCAGCACCCCAAAAGTTCTGTATGTAAGTATATGTAAGGAACATTTACTCCCAATTCTCTGTGGAAATCAAATGCAACCTGGGAATTAGATTTTAAATGTGTGAGTAAATACACAATATAGGTGTCAAGAACAGTCTTTTAACTACTAGTATTCACACTGAGGGGGGGAAATTATGCCAAATTAAATTTAACTATATAAACAAAAAGGAGGCAACTTAGTAGAGCCGACAAGCTCAGGGAGCTACTTGGAAGGCTGACAAGCTCTGTGACCAAAAGTCATCCCAGGCCCATAGCTTCCTTAGCAAAGGTCAACCTTTCCCTTCAGTGAGCCCCGCCCATTGTTCTTAAGCATCTAGGATAACACACCTTTGGAGTATCAGAGTAATTTTCTTTTCCAGACCCCTGGCAGGCACAACTGCTGGCACCACAGCACAAGACCACAAGACTCCTCGTTGTTACATACTATCTGTATTTACTGTAAATATTAAATGTTAACTGTCCTGTACCCACCAATATGAAAGAAATATGTGTTTCTCCATTTTACTTTTTATCCAATCCCAGGGATTTCCCTGCTTTGCTTACTCCCACCTCAATCTACCACCGATGGATTCCATGTAACCTTCCTTACATTTTCTCCTTTGATTCTAATGTATAAAATGAGCTGCAACAACTGCCATTCTCTAGAGCATTTTCTCAATCCCTTGAGATCTTGCTTCTGAGCATGTCCTCAAAATTTTGGCTCAAATAACTCATATAATATTTTTTTTATAGATTTGGACACTCTTATATCAACAACTACAATTTTATGTGAATAACACTAATTAATCTTTAAGGCATAAAAACTCAGACATTTTAGCTTCAAATATCTAAATAACTTGGATGAAATGTCCCTTTGAGGACAAATATAAATTCTGGAGGGAATACTTTTAAAAACAGCCCCAAAATCACAAAGACTTAACAAGATTGTGAAGAATTATCTGGCTGAAATAAAGGCAAAAGAATAGAACCCAGAAAGGTAATCCAAACCACCCAAAGTGGTTTTAACTCTCTGGCACTTGAAGGTCCAGGGAAAAAAAGGGGGAACAGCTTGCTCTTGAAACCCTTACAAATCCATGGGCAAAAAAGTCA